GGTAGGTGCTGTGTGTTATCTCCTTCCAGCGTGGTTCCTCCAACCCCTGGTTCTTGTTTAGTCTGCCCCCTGGCAGTACAGATTTCATTTGTTACTAGTGTGATTCTACCTCTCAGGGGGTCCTAGATAGATTCCCCGGGCACTGGTCTCATCCGCAGGGGCTCTGAGGCAAGGTAGGGGTGTGGGAGGGCCGGAAGGGGGTGTTTTACTTGGGTTTTGAGATGTAGTGCGTGTCTCGATTCCCTATGTGTCTTGTCTCCTTTCTCCCTGTGTCGGTGTATGTGTTAGGTACACGTACCAGGACCCCCACATTTCCGTATGTTTGTTGCTTCTTCCCAGTAAATCAGCATATATTGCTTCCGCTGCGTGGATTTCTTCTACTCTCTGTAGCCATTGCATGATTGTGGGTGGTTGGGTGCTTTTCCACAGTGTCAGAATCAGGGACTTGGCTACATTCAGCAGGTGTCTCAGGATAGATTTCTTGTAGTGTGCGAGTGGTTTTTCTGTGAAGTGAATCAGTGCGGCTTCTATGCTGAGGTCTGGCATATCCCCTAGGATCTTGACCAGTTCTTGTTGGATCTCATCCCAGAATGGTTTTATTATGGCACAGTCCCACCAGATGTGTCTCACTGTTCCTGCGGTACCAGTGTGAGATCAGTTTAAAGTTGACTTCTTGGTATCTTGAAGTGATTGAGCTCTTGTGCTGAAGTATGAGTATCTGCTCCCATTGGGCATCTGTGTATGTTCTGTCCGTGAGGTCCTCCCATCGCCTCTTGAATGTTATGTTCTGAACCCGGTCTCCTATTATAATCCGTTGGTATAATATGGATACTCTCCCATCTGCTTCTGGTTCATTCACACACAGGTTTTCGAACCACGTGATGTCTCTGTGTACTGCCAGTCTGTTTGGCAGATTGTAGTAAAAATGTTGTAGCTGCATGTAGCGAAACCTGTGTATGATTGTGGGGGTGTCGGTTCCAGTCCATTCACGTATGTTCTTCAGTCCTGCGTTGGTTAGTGCCTCCTTCAGGGGTAAATAGTCATCTCCCTCTGCTGTCGGCCATGCGCTCATCGGGAGACCGCCGCCTAGGTCAATATTATTCGTTAGTGGGATCAGTGGGCTCGGTTGGGGGGATATGCATGTTTCTTTTCTCATTGTGGCCCATGTTTTCAGCGTTCGTTCTATGGGCGAGGTTTTGTCGATGTTTGGGGTTTCCCTCTGGGTGTGATGCCATACCTGTGAGTGCTTTCTCTGTCTAGTGTCGCCCAGCGATTGTGTTGAGGGGCCGCGTGCCAGTCTCTTATCCGTTGTAGGGTAGATGCGTAATAGTATTTGCGGAAGTCTGGCAGTGCTAGGCCTCCCCATGCTTTGGGTAGGCATATTTTATCGTGGCTAAGCCTCACTCGGTTCCCCTTCCAGACATATCTGCTAACCGCTGTCTTCAGAGTTGTGAAGAATTCCAGTGGTAAGTGCCAGGGTATGGTGTTGAAGTAGTAGAGGAGTCTCGGCAAGATGTTCATCATTACTACTGCTATGCGACCATGCCGTGAGATGCAGTCGTAATTCCAGGTTATCAGGTCTTTCTGTATTTGTTTGAGGAGCGGAGCGTAGTTCCGTGTGTAGGTTTCCGTTGGGTTGCTGGAAATCCAGATTCCCAGGTATCTCATCTGGTCTTCGCAGCTATGAAAGGGGTATGTTCTTTTTGACGTGGTCCCAGTCAGATGTTTGGGCCGAGATTTGTATGGTTTCTCATTTCGTGTGGTTTAGTTTAAGCCCAGAGACTCGGCCGTAGCTTTAAAAATCGTCCATCAGCGCCGGTAACGTGTATCTCGGGTCGTCTATAAAGAAGAGCATATCATCTGCATAAGCCGCAACTTTATGTTCCTTTTCTTTATATTGGAATCCTCGTATGGCTGGTGTTCGCCTGATCTTGTCTAGGAACGGTTCCAGTGTTAGGGCAAATAGGAGCGGGGATAATGGGCAGCCTTGCCTGGTGCCGTTGCTAATTAGGAATCCATCCGTGAGTGCTCCGTTGATTCGGATCTGCGCATTGGGGTTGCAGTAAAGTGTGTCTATCCACGCGAGCATCCCTCTCCCTAGTCCAACTTTGTTGAGCTTCGCCATCATGAATTGCCATCTCACTCGGTCAAACGCTTTTTCGGCGTCCGTTGAGAGCATAAGTAGATTCTTATTTTCTCTGCGAGCTAGGTGTTGGATAGTAAATGCTCTCAGAGTGCAGTCCCTAGCTTCTCTTCCCGGTATGAAGCCCGTTTGATCCGGGTGTATCAACCTGGGCATGTAGGGTTGTAGTCTGGTTGCTAAGATCTTGGAGAATAGTTTGACATCCGCGTTGAGGAGTGAGATAGGATGGTAGTTCCCGCAGTTTTCTGGGTTCTTGCCCGGTTTTGGTACGACTGTGATGGTGGCTGCCATTGTTTCGGGGTGGAATCTGCCTCCGTCTTGGAGTTGGTTTAGTGCGGCAGTTAGACGTGGGATCAGGGTGTTGCCATTTTATGCGGCCTTGATTGCCGTCCGTACTTCGTCTTCTGAGATCGGTGCTTCCAGGGATTCTGCTTCTTCGCTCAAGAGCGCGTCGGGTTGGAATTCTTGTAGATATTGTTCTACCTGCCTGTTCTCTTCGCTTTGGCGTGTTTCTGTGTGGTTTGCGTGTGTGATGTACAGTTTCGTATAATATGAGCGGAATTCGTTAGCAATTTCCTCCGGGAACTGTGTGAGGTGTCCCTTTGAAGTCCGTATCGCCTGTACCTGTGCTCTCGTTTGTTGGCCCCGGATCAGGCAGGCCAGCATTTTGCCACCTTTGTTGGCGTGTAGGTAGTAGAAGGCTTTAGAGCGTTGTAGTGCTCTATGGTGTTTACGGTCAATGAGCTCCGTAAGTTGTCTACGCGCTGTCAGGAGTTCCCGGTATTGTGCCTCTAGCTGGCTGCATTTGTGGAGGGTTTTGAGGTTCATTATTTGGGCCGTGAGGTCCGCTATTGCTTGCTGGTTCTCTCGCTTTTTGCGTGACGCAATCCGAATAAAGTGTCCCCTGAGGACGCTTTTGTGTGCCTCCCAGAGTGTTATGTTCGACATATCTTCCGTGGCATTTTCTGCAAAGTATTGGTTCAGATGTTCTGCTAATTGCGTCTGGACCAGTACATCCAGTAGGAGCGATTAATTTATCCTCCACGTCGTTTGGGTGGGTCTGGGGTTCCTATGGGCTTAGCTTCCGAGTTCCGTGTACTCTATCGGGGTCAGTATGCTCTTATTGGAGGGAGGGTGTTTCAGTCCAGGAGGGGGGGGTCACCCGGTTGCGGCTCCCTGGTCTCTGCGAGTGGTAGCCGGGTGGGCCAAAGGTCGGGTGTCGTGAGTAGGGAGTGGGACGGGGCGGTGGTCGGGTAGTGAGGTGAGTTAGTGGGTATAGGTGGGGGGGAGGGGGTGGTTCCCCCAGAGCCCCTGTGACTCGGCCTCGTGTCCGCTTCTACTAGGTGTTGGCTGGCTAAGGGTTTCTCCTGGTAGGTTTTTTAAAGGAGCCTTGCTGTTTGCGAGTTTATTTACTGGTGTCTAGTGGCGTTTCGGGGTCGTTCCCTATGTCGGTGTTCTCAGTGAATGAGGAGTACCTGTGTAACTGGGTTGGTTGACAAAGCCAAACCGCCACATAGTGTATACTAGGGCGTCAGGGCAGTGTTCCCCCCAGTAGTCTATGTATACACAGGATTGGGTCGGGGTTGTGGCCTCCTAACCGTTTACGTCTTCCACTTAATACGTGGAAAGTTGGTTGAAGTATAGATTGTGGTCTGGTATCGTCAGCCGTCCTGGGTCTCCCGTCTCAATAGCGTTCGGCTGTATTTGTTATGCTAAGTCGCTATATGTGTCTGGTCTTGGTTTGGGTGGTATGAGTCCTCCCCTCATGTGCTCCCTGAGCTCCCCTCAGTCTTCCCAGGTGTGGTCTCATGGCGTCTTGTCTTTGTGATCGTGTGGGCGTTTGTGGTGGGCATGCGACTGCGGTGGCTCGTCTCCATCATCTGCTACGTTTGGGTGGTCCCGTGAGCTACGTCCTGACCAGTTGGTGGCAATGCTTCTCGTGAAGGGGGGGATACGGGGCGGGGGTGGTAGAGGTCATCCATAAGATATTTGTCGTTTAGGCATCCTGCGGTGCATGGAGGTTGCTATTATAAGTACTTTTTCTAGCTCCCTGCCACCGCCAGTTCCGCGTTCGCTGCGGCCTCCCCTCTTCATATGGCATCTCCTTTCGTCTATCGCTGGGTTTTGTAGCTACCAATTTCTCCCCCCATCCAGCTCCGTCCCACCCATGTCTAATAGGGGTCTCCCCATTGACCTGTACACGTGGTGACTCATCCCATCCCCGTCTCTTTCTCGAAGGGTATGGGTGTCTCTATAGCTAGATTATGCAGGCCTTTCGTGTTTAGGTAGGTTGTCACATGGGGCAGGTGTCTAGCGTCAGGGTTTGAATTGTGGTCAGGCTATCAGAGGAGTGGGCCTAGCCTGCTGTGTGCTTGCCCTGTCAGGGCGTGGTTCCCACTGCAATCGATAGGCAGGCCTTACACAATTTACTAAGTCTAACGTGTAACATTTGGATACCTTATAACATTAAAACATTTTCATCTTTGCACCCCCCAGTGTGCTTGTCCGTTTGTTCGGATTTGAGCAATGACCCAGGTCAGTGTCCCACCTCCACTCCTGCATCCCCTCCACCCTAAATGTAGTGTTATCCCGGTAGCCCCACATTAATTGCGGTATTCCCCACCATTTAGTCCCAAGTTCCGTGTGTGCGTGGTGAATAGCGTAGTACTTATCTGGGTACTGGGGGTCGCGTCTTGCATCCGGTACCAGTAGAGTCTGCAATCTTATGGGTCCCGCAACAGTCTATCTCGTGAGGGGTGGAGGGGTCCTCCTTGTCGGGGCGGGTGTGCCCCTCTGCCGTTATTCTTCCGGTTCTGCAGGGTCCAGGTGTCTGTGTGCAGTGGGCCGCCTCAGTGAGTCACTTCCGCGGCGTCGCTGTGGTCTCGGTGTTTGAGGTCTTGGCCGTTGCTCTAGCGGTCCGAGGACCCAGTCCGTTATCTCCGTGGGCGGTAGTTCCAGGCGGTGTAGGAATCCCGGGCTTTCCTCCGGCCAGCGCAGAGATACCCATTCGTTCTGGTGTCTTGCGAGTAGGGCAAAGGGAAATCCCCACTTGTAGGGGATATTTCTCTCTCTGAGAAGGGATGTGACGGGCCCTGTGTGCTTCTAGCGTGAGCGGTGACAGATCCCGGAACAAGGACACATCAGCTCCACGGAATCTCCATAGCGGTCTCGTGCGGGCTTTCTGCATTATCCGCTCCTTGTGCTTATAGTGGTGGAGGCAGCATATGGCGTCCCGTGGTGTGCCATCTGGTATCCTGGGCCTGTTTGCCCTGTGGGCCCGGTCAAACGTCAGGTCGGCAGGTAAGTCTTCCCCTAAGATGGCCTGGAAGAGGGCCTTCAGCGTGGTCTCAATATCTTCCTCTGCCTGTGGTTCAGGTAGGCCGTGCACTCGGATGTTTGAGCGGCGGCCTCTATTGTCCAGATGTTCTGTTTGCCGTCGTAGGGCTAGCAACATGTTTCCCTGTCTGGTGACCGCTGTGGTTGTGGTTCCCATTCTCCCCATAGCCTCCTGCATATTCCCCTCCAGTGTTTGGAGCCTGCCGCTGTGCGCAGTCATTTCAGCCCTCAGGACTGTTACCTCTTGGCGGATCGCCGCGTGTAGGTCATCTGACAGAGCTTGGAGGTCCGTTTTCGTGACCATTTGTGCGGCCAGCGCTCTGATATCCGCGCTGATGTCTGTTAGTGTGGGGCCTGCTGTCTCTGGGGGTCGCACGTGGTGCGGCGAGTCGGCCATTGTTGTGCCTGCCTGCTCGCGGGATGCGGTTGCCAGAGCCTGCAGGTAATCGTCCATGGGACCTGCCTGGGAGCTTGTAAGGTTGCCGTCCGGGCCTTTTATGCGTCCCATTTCCAACCCTCCCTGCTCGTTTAGCGTGCTGATTTTAGCTTTGGGAGACGGAGCTCTCAGCTTAGGCTGCCTTTCTCCTTGGTGTCCAGGCCACGCCCCCGGGAACTTCTTTTTAACATTACTCATTTTTTGTGGATCCACAAGTAGAAGGGAGAAAAGCACCAGGAGCCTTGGGAAATGTACTCTATATTCCAATCAACCTTGTATGCCCAATAGCAGAGCTGCAGGAACAGTTGTAAAGTTTGTGAAACTCAATGTTGTCCCAGTGTGTGAGGCACAAAAGGAAATATTTACTTTATATTATGGAAATAGTACAAGAAAAAGGTGCTCTGTGCAATTAGGCGCTTAACAATAATATATAAATAGAACAGCAGCTCAAACACGCATGCAGGTATCCCAATCCTACACAAACACAATGTGAAAGAAAAAAAGTGAACTTAGTGGATCGTACTACCACCAAAAGATCACTCAGTGGAGCGCTAAATATCAAATTCTTACCCCTATTGGAATAACGTATATATCACTTTAAGGGGCAGACAGCATAATAAAATCTACAACAAGAAAATACACATCATGGTGCAGTATGCTTGTAAGGAGTGAATGGAGTGGAAGAAGATGTATGTCCAACTCACATGGTAAAGAGCCTGGAGATTGGCTCAAATCACAACAGCTGAGGTATGTTTGGTAATACCAGACCTTCTCCAGATATACAGCTCACAACATCTGGAATAGAGCCAATTGTACTAGGCTCTATGTATAAGCGTGTGGTGCCTTTAAGGGAGGCACTACCCTTCTTTAGAAAATACAGGAAGCAGTTGAAGATCCACTACCAGATGTATAAGGTAAAAGTAACAATTTATTTAAAAAAAAAACAATTAAGCAAAGTAAAACTGTATATACAGATACCAAAAAGTAAAAGTCTCTGGGGTGGAAGACCACCCCAGAGACTTTTACTTTTTGGTATCTGTATATACAGTTTTACTTTGTTTAATTGTTTTTTTTTTTTTAATAAATTGTTACTTTTACCTTATACATCTGGTAGTGGATCTTCAACTGCTTCCTGTATTTTCTAAAGAAGGGTAGTGCCTCCCTTAAAGGCACCACACGCTTATACATAGAGCCTAGTACAATTGGCTCTATTCCAGATGTTGTGAGCTGTATATCTGGAGAAGGTCTGGTATTACCAAACATACCTCAGCTGTTGTGATTTGAGCCAATCTCCAGGCTCTTTACCATGTGAGTTGGACATACATCTTCTTCCACTCCATTCACACCTTACAAGCATACTGCACCATGATGTGTATTTTCTTGTTGTAGATTTTATTATGCTGTCTGCCCCTTAAAGTGATATATACGTTATTCCAATAGGGGTAAGAATTTGATATTTAGCGCTCCACTGAGTGATCTTTTGGTGGTAGTACGATCCACTAAGTTCACTTTTTTCTTTCATATTATGGAAATAGTTTACCTTTGACTCCATGTTACCTTAGGTTCTAGTTAATGGTTAACTGGTGAATTGTATGGGTTGTTATTGTGAATATTTCTGTAATTGTAAATAGACACATCATTGTTTTATGAAAGCCCCAGACCTGTTTCCTGCGCACACATTTTTTTAAAAACTGTTTGTTTTAAGGTTGTGTTTTTCCTTCCTTGTTGTTCTGTTTATCATTGTATTATATATACCCTAACCAATCCACCTAGAATTGTTAACAGAAGAATTTATTCATCTGAGCTTCAAGAACCATGGACTGGATCTGGCTGAACATAGGTATGGCTCTTGTCTATTCTACCATTACATTCATGGTTATTCTTTGACTGAAATTGCTGTGGTGAATTCTAATGCTCCCATACCATATGATGCAAAACCACCCAGTTGCATATTGGATCATTATTACTGCAAGATCCAAATATTGTTTACAATATTTAACAATGTCTAGATTTAGCAATTAAATTGTTTCCAGGTCTCAGCTTGTCTGAATGGTTGACATCTGGGCCAGTATTTTGCAAATGGGCAAATAGACCTAAATAACCCTCGGCAGTGCAAGGGTTAAGTTATGAGGTGGATGGCCAGGGCTTGCTAGACAAATGTAAAAAAAAATTGACACCCATCTCTCTATATGGTTATTAGACTTGTGCAGGGTGAAACATTTTACATCTTCTGAACAAAATTCTCCAAAAGGAAAATTTTGTTTTGTATCTCCCAAAAATAGCATTGGCATGTACCTCTTAAAATATTATAAAGGTTACACCTGCAACTCTTGGATAGGGGCAGAATGATGGACTTGACAACTGTGTCAGGTTCCCCCATTGATCTATTGGCCCGTCCTAATGAAATGGAACCTTACTAGAAATAAAACCGCAACAGCTGGCCAGGTACTAGTTTTCCAACCCCATCATTGCTGGATAGCAGTGGTGAGGGACATAACGGGGGCCTGTGGACAGATTATCCTTTATTCTAATGTGCATGGTATGGAGTATTAACAGTTTAGAAGAAAAAGGGTACACACTGTATAGGTGATATGTCTCTGCCTGCTGCATGTCGAACAAAGGCATAAGTGATAATTAAATCCTCGTAATAAGGGGTCATATTAATACATCTGACTGCCATTCTGGGGTCAAGAAGGAATTTATTACTAGTTTGTTGCAAAATTGGAAATGCTTCAAACTGTTTTTTGTTTTTTTTGCCTTCTTTTGGATCAACAAAAAAGAAAAAAAAACACATGTAAGGAAGACAGAACTTGATGGACACATATCTCTTCTAAACCTATGTAACTATATTGAACCCCCTTTTAATTTTATTTACATATATATACACACACATACACACATATATTTATGTAGCAACTGGCTAGTTAGTGCTCACTATAACTATTTGCCCACTGGCTGCTAGTGAATTATAGTACATCCAACCATATATATTCAGTCCAATTTTTGATTAAAATCAGTGCTTTGTAAATGTCCAGATCATATATTAAAGGCTGGGCCTGTAGTTGTGGGAGGGGTTCAGCCCACCCACCACTCCCTTTATCAAGCTATTTAAACTGTTGGGCCCTCTTTTTACAGGCCTACCCGAACATCAGTTTTGACACATCACAACCGACTTAGACACTACCAACATAACTTGGCTCATTGTCCCCAACCACAAATATATATATATATATATATATATATATATATATATATATATATATATATATATAGAAAAATACATGAGCAAGGCACTCCTCCTTTACCTTATTCACGAATTCTCAACTGCCCAGGTGCAATCCCGCATTGAATATACATCAGATCAGGGAGCACTCTGGGACTTCTTTTCAGTGGAAAAAAATCATCAAATATCATCAAATAATACATCTTCTGTGCAAAATATAGAAAATCGACGTTTCGACCCTTCTGGGGTCTTTATGAAGATCATATATTTATTTTTTCCTTCATAAAATTTATTTGCAAATGCAGAGCATTAAAAAGATGGTGAACATACGACTATACGTCAAAAACCTTAAACTATACATTCCTGTACAGTACTGTATCACCTGTACTGTGTTAATAACAGGAAGGAGAACATATTCATACAGTCACGTTTACCATTGGTGGTACCGTATTAGATCTAAGTAAGGCAGCAATGATCAATACCGTAATAGTAGATGCTAAAATACTGAACCGCCTTGCGAGGTGGATTAAATAATCAGAGTATGAACAATAAAACAAAATTAAGTAATTTTAACTAATTTTCAGGTAGTGGCTGTGTGTTTGCGTTGGAGCATCACTCAATAGTAAGTATTTAGCAAAGTTCACACGTGGGCCCTTTGATATGGTCTAGTTTCTAGATATAATTTGGGTCAATGTTGAGATGCTGTCACAACACTAAATATGTGTCATATGTCTAGGGGTATTTATTTATTTTTGGGTCTGATCCTGTTCTCCGAGCTGTAAGTCACCCACGATTACCAGTGGAGTATAAAGCAAGTGTGGGGGTTTTGTCTATATATGTAATTTCTTTGATGTGCGCGACTCTTCTCTGCCACTCCATCAACGTTGCCACACGAGGACCTCACCAATTAAGAGGGATTCGCATTTAGCAACTAATAAAAGGGGAGACAGGATTTTCTTAGACTTATGGAAGTTAGTGGTGTATGTGATAGCAATATCTTGGCTGGTTGTAGTGATAGAGTTTATTCTAGGATAAGTTAATTCCAAATATTTTTGAGAGGAGAACAATGCCACCATATATGTTAAAGTGTTATCATATATGTTATATATAATTTGAAAGCGAAAAGCACTGATTTTATAGCTGACAAATGAATTAAGCCAAAGAGTGTTGATTCAGATTAAATATGAAAAATGCTAATCCGTTCAGAATCCAGTGATTTTTACAGATTTTTTTAAATCTAGACATAAATAATCTTGTGTGTAAAACAAAAAAATAAAATGCTAAATATTGTGCAGCAGTCACCATGTTGTTATTGCAAGATTTTAAAAGAACTTAACAATAGCTGCATGCAATAAGAAATAAATGTCAAAGCTGGGTGAAACCATTTATTACTTACCGTATATACTCGTGTATAAGTCGATCTCATGTATAAGTCGAGTGCACTTTTGTGACCAACAATTGTGAAATATGCTATGTCTCGTGGATAAGTCGAGGGTAAAACTTGGGGCTATGAAATTCTGTGATTTTTATAATTATATACACACACACACTCATACAAACACACACTCTGCATTATATATACACACACACTCATACAAACACACACTCTGCATTATATACACACAATCTGTGTATATAATGCAGAGTGTGTGTTTGTGTAGTGTGTGTGAACCAGGTGGGGGGAGGGCATTTTTGTTATTTTAATTTTTTTTTTAATATTATTATTTTTTTATTATTTTAATTTTTTTTTGTCACCCCTCCCTGCTTGTTAACTGGTCAGGGAGGGGGGCTATCTTAATCCCTGGTGGTCCAGTGGCATGGGCTGTGAAGTGGAGGGGGCCGGCAGGAA